TATGTGTCCCACGCGCCCCCCTCATCCTTCTCCTTCCTATCCTCCGCGCCCAGCCCTCCCTCGTCGTTCCCCTCTCCGCCCCCCCCATCCATCCACCCCTCCCTTACAACGTAATGCAACTGGAATCGGCTCGAAGATTGCGACCAGCCCTGCAATGCCCCCCTCCACATTCCCGATTAGGGCCGCCCCGGTTGCCCCCTGCAGCGGAGCGACGCTCGGTCCTTGTTCGCGGCACTTCTGGCGCAGTCTGCCACGCATCGTCTCTGGCTTTTCCCAACCCTCCCGTGGTGTTGGGTCCTCGTTTTGAAGAGACAGCGCCCCGCGTCACCTCACCTCACCTCACCTCCCGCTGCCCACTCGCACTCCCTCCCCGCTCCTTACTCCCACCCCACGCCTCTGCTCTCCGCATGCCCATCCCACTCTGGCGCAACCCTCACACGGTTCGTGGCCCCATAGGGAGCTCCACCGAAGGGCCCAGCAGCATGGCCTGCACGCGCCCCCCCGCCCACTCCTGCACACCCACCCCATAGGGAGCTCCACGGAAGGCCCCAGCGGCAGGGCCCGAATGCGCCCCCCCGCGCATTTCGGCACACCCATCACGAGAATCGTGGCCCTATAAGGAGCTCCACCGAAAGCCCCGGCAGCAAGGCCCGCGCGCGCCCCCCCGCCCGTTTCGGCACACCCCTCTCGAGGATCGCGGCCCCACAAGGAGCTCCACCGAAGGCCCCAGCAGCAGGGCCCGCGCGCGCACCCCCGCCCATTTCGGCAGCCCCTCACGAGGATCGCGGCCCCATAAGGAGCTCCACCAAAGGCCCCGGCGGCAGGGCCCGCGCGCGCACCCCCGACCATTTTGGCAGTCCCTCACGAAGATCGTGGCCCCATAGGGAGCTCCACCAAAGGCCCCGGCGGCAGGGCCCGCACGCGCCCCCCCCGCCCATTTCGGCAAACCCTTCGCTATGATCGCGGCCCCATGGGGGAGCTCCACCGAAAGGCCACAGCGGCAGAGTCCGCACGCGCCCCCCCGACATGTCGGCGCACACACACCACACCACACACCCACACACACACACAACACACCACACACACATCATGAGGACCGTGGCCCCTAATAAGCCCCCGACGGCCCCGGGGGCCGCGCGCGCCCCCCCGCCCATTTCGGCACACCCCTCGGATCACGAGGATCGCGGTCCCATGGGGAACTCCACCGAAAGCCCCCGCGGCAGGGCCCGCACGCACCCCCCCGCTCATGTCGGCACACCCCTCACGAGGACCCACCGGGTCCGCACGCGTCCGCCAGTTCATTTCAGCACACCCTTTTCACAAGGATCGTGGCCCCACGGGGAGCCCCACCGAAGGCCCCAGCGGCAGGGTCCGCATGCCTCCCCCGCCAATTTCGGCACGCTCCTCACGAGGATTGCGCCCCACTAGGGAGCTCTACCGAAGGCCCCAGCGGCAGGGCCCGCGCGCGCCCCCCCCCCGCCCATTTTGGCACCGGGCCCTTCGCCAGGATTTCTTCTCGGGGGGGATTCGCTGCAGCGGCGGTGGGCGCAGAACCGCTGCGGCATTCCAGCATGCAACGGCGTCCCTGATACAATCGTGATAAGCCCACTCTGTCGTCTGCAGCCGCTTCGCGGCGGCTTCCATACACGCTGAATTTGACAACTCAAACTGATCCTTCTGACCAACGATTCGATGATGCGCACAGCAAAGTCACCCGGCCGGCCACATCCCACTGCCCTGGTTCGATGGAACAAGTGATGCGGAACATGAAGAGGCGGCAGGCGGCAAAGAATTCAGCGCCGACGTCAAAGAATGTTGGGCACCAGCTGGCGCTTGTCTATCCATGCGCGCGGCAAGCTGAAATCCCCCTGCTGTCATCTATCACGAAGACGACCCCGGCCTGCACCTGGACGACCACCCTTCGGGCGACGAGGAGGTCGGGGGCGGGCCGGGGGGGAAGAACCTTCTGCTGGCAAGTGCGATGCGTGTGATGATCGCAATGCTGGCGACGCGCCGACTTAGCGACGACGCGCGATGGCGATGATGCGTTGCGACGCAATGTCAATATCGTCCCCGCTTTCTGTTCCACAACCAAAGTCACAATCACCATCACTGTTGATCTCACGTTTGGTCCCACTATCCGTCCCATTCTAGCGATCGCAACACCGATGCCAAAATCGATTCCACGATCGAAGTCAACGAGGGACCCCCTGGCCACCGCCCGCCCACCGCCGACGGAACACCGACGAGGCACCAACGGGACACCAACGGGGCACCACAGGACACCACGGCGGGACACCCTGTGCCATCGCGCGCCCACCAGGGGCGGAGGGGCGGTCCACTGCATCCGAACCGCCCCAGCGACGGCGGGGTGATTCCTCTCGCGCGCCCACGCAGCCTCGCCTGGCCCGCAAGCACGACGCGAACACGAAACCGAAACTGACTTCCCGCTGGGGGGGTCTCCGTTCCACTGCGATCTCGCCCCCCAACCTCCAATACTTGATGGCGCGGGTCCTCGCATCCTGGGCAGGGCCGGCGGAGCAAACGAAGGTTTCGGGGCAACTCTGGCCACGAAGTCGGCCTGGTCCTCGCCAGTGAGCTCCACGAACACGCACTTCTCATTGCTGGGGGGTAGATGATTTCACATTGCGACCGACCCTATAGCCCACGGAGCTGCCCACCCCCACCACTCTCCAGACGCTAGCGCCAGGCGTCGCCGTGCCGCTGACCTGTGCTGCGTCGCTGCTGCCTCCTCCGCCTCCGCTCCCGTCAGGTCCTGAATCCCTGCACACTGGCTGCACGGAGACTGGCTCAACAAGGTCTCGATGACGACACGCGCGCCGTTCGCCAGGCGCACCGAATGGCACGTCACCGACACGAAATCGTTTTTCCTGGAGTCTTTCAGGGCCAGCATCGCACCCCACATCATGCATTGCTTGATGAAATCGTCCTCGGACGAGGCCCGTCTGAACGCATACACAGGGTCCCGGAAAGAGGCAAGGAGGCGTCCATCAGCGGCGGGGCGGATCCACTCCACCAGGGCTTTGTCAGCATAGCCCCCTTCATCGACTCAGTCTAATGATCGCCATCGAGTTTTGCCACCACCCAGTCAATAGCTCCTGCCTTCTCCTGTGCCAGAAGCCAGCACAGAACGCGCTCATCCCAAACATCGTCCTCTGCGCACCGGGCTAGGAACACGCCCCCCGGCACCAGGTCGAACGACGACACCACGGCCAGCATACTGAGAACGATGACAGGCCTGGGTAGCGCACGCCGTGGTGTACACACCGCAGCTCCAGCTGATCACCGCCACGAGCGCCACGACCCAGTCCGGCAAGCCAGGGCTCTCGACAGCGCCAGGGCCCGCGCCTTCGCGGGCGAAAGGGGGGCCACGTCACCGCTTCCACGGGCAGTGCCTCGCACGGCGGGCGCTGGGGTGCCGCGCAGCTCACCTGCGGGCAGCTCACCGCCAGCGGCGCGGGGGGGGCAGGCGAAGCCGACGGGAGGGCAGCCGAGCACAGACGCTGGGCACGCCGGCAGCGGCGGGCAGGCGGGGCAGCGGCCCAGGCCACGCGCCACCGAGGTTGGCCGCCCCGAGGATAGCCGCCTGCGCCACATGCGCCACCACCGTGCACCACTCCGGACTCGCCGCGGTGCGCCACGGGGCCCCTGCGGCGAGAGAAGGCTTGAGCAGAGGTTGCCACAGTCGATGGACGGGGTACAGGAGGGGCTGCATACAAACTCGTGTGGAGCACTGGGATGTGTAGATGTGCACACGCATATAGAAAAGGTCGATGGACATGCAGCGATACGCATCTGCATCACCATAATTGCATAGATGTGGGTGGATGAAACGATACACACGTATGTAGAAACTCAGACTGCATCTTGCATGTGTATATATGTATTCATATATGTATATATGTATATATATATATGTACAACAAGTCTAGACATGTATGCATACTGCATATGGATGTACACGCTTACACACATAAATCTTTATAAAGAAGTATTGATGTCCCGATGCGTGCTCACTCGTGGGTTGAATTGCGCGTCCAATGCACATCAAGTGTGGCGTTCCCCCACCACCTCCTTATCGTCCGAGGGGGGTCTATGTGGCATGAATTGTTCAGCCCAACGTTTGTTCCCTGATGTTCCCCCTCCGGGGCCTGTTATAGGGACCTGGGTGTATCAAGAATGGATGCGGGACGGAAGCTACCCCCGGGGAATGGGTCGGTACCTCTGGGGCCGCGGAGTTCAAAATTACATCATCGGATGCCTAGAACCGATGATTGCATACATGTGGCCCAAGAGGGAAACCAACAGGCCCTTCCACTGCGACGGCGTGCCCAACAGGTGCTGGAAAGACGTGCGCCACTCCTGATCAATAAATATGATCGGATCGGAACGCGCGTTTTATCGGGCAGCACCCGCGCGGATCGAGAAATCGGAACGCATCGACCGCGCCAGCCAGCATGCACCGCGGCGCCGTGAGAGCATCGGGCCACCAGAGCGGCGGGAAATCGGGAACAGATCGGATCGGGCCGCCGCGGAATCGATATCGCATCGGAGCTTGGAGGCAGCTCTGCAACAGCAAGACCAGAGAGGAGGGGGAAGGGGGCGAACTGCGCAATCAATGCCGATCCCATCTGGAGAAACGGCCCAGGGGGGACAAGGAACGAAACCTGCGCACAATGGTGCCTCTCCCCACCTCGAGCGGCTGGGACCCGTGATGCCCCGCCTCCCATCGGGGAACAAATCATGGCATAACCATACACTTTCGGAGCTCCGCGCGGACTTTTCGGATCGGCGCTGGAGCCCCCTGGCGGCGCCTCCAGCGACACCCCTGGCGCGCTCCGCGCGCCGACGAGGAGAGTCCAGCGCAGATCCAAGGGAGCCGTGCGGAGCTGAAGAATGTCATGCCATGACTTGCTCCTCGATCTCAGCCCCCCCCGACCGGATCCAACTCGGACCGACCGTAGCGAAGCGGACCCCGTCCTCCATCACCTTGTCCCAGGCCCATGGCGACAGCAGGCGCACGTCGCAGCTGGTCCTGCGGGGCACCCGCTGCAGCGTGGACCACGCATCCCTGGATCTGGTGCGTGGGCGCCAGATCGAGCGGGGACGATTGGGGGGGAAGGCCGGCTCGGGGGAGGGGACATCGACCTGGAGTCGGTGATACATCGCCGATGGACCGGCAATCGGCCCCCGAGAGTCGAAGGCGAGACCGCGTGCTCCTCGAGCCGGGGTCGGCAATGCATGGGCGAGTCGGGGTCGATGCAGGAGGAGGAGGAGGAGGAGGAGGAGGAGGAGGAGGAGGAGGAGGACCCCCCCCCGAGCCCATCCCACCCCTCACGTCGCCCCGGACAGGTCCACGGAGCCGAGAGCATAGCCCCCCCCCCCTCCCGAGACAGGAGGCCGGAACCGCCCGACGTCTCGCGACGGAGCGCGCCGATGTGTAACGGGTGCGGGGCCCAGCGTCGGGAGCGGCCAGGAGAGGGGGGTGTCCAAGAGGGGGGGGGTGCAAATCATGGCCGGCGGCATGTGCGCGGCCCGGCGGGGGGGGCCAGGGACGCAGTGGAAGAAGAAGAAGAAGAAGAAGAGGCGCCAGGAGATATCGTGGAGATGTCGGGGCCCCCGCCAGGGGATCCACCCCCCCCCCTGGTCCTCGCCCCCCTCTTCTCCGCCCCACCAGCCCTCTGGGCGTCGGTGGTTTAGAGCGTTTCCTCTTCCACCCCTCCTTCTTCCCCTTCGGGGAGGGGTTTACCCCTCCCCCTACCCCCTCCCCACTGACCTGGACAGGGGGGGCCGCGATCGGTCAGAGCGTCCAAGATCGACCCCTGGGAGGGCCCGACATCGCGAGTCCACGCAGATCCACGCTTGCGCTTCGCGGGAAAGGAAGCCTGCGGAGGTCCGCGCGGATGCATTGGACATCGGCGCGGGGCCCTCCTCCCGGGAGCGCGCGGGGCGCCGCCCAAGGGGGGCTCCGGCGCGCAGGTCCGAGAGACCCCCGCGGAGCTCCGAGCGTTTGCTCCGGATTTCGTAACAGAGGGAGGGGGGTCTCACTTCGGAGGGGGGGGGTCTCTTCCAGGCTCTCTCGGAGGGCCTGGGGGGGTCTGTCTGGGGACGATGTTTTGGGGGGTTCTCCCACGGGGGGGGGTCTGAAATGGCTTGTCTCGGAGGGTCCAGACCCCCTCCCTTGTATTGCGAAGTCTGGAGTATGCTTACGCGGTCTTTCCTTCTTCGAGTTCGGCGACGGAGCACGCCGATTTTGCACGGCTGTGGGACCCGTCGCCAATCCATGCTGATTCTGGAGGCGGCCAGGGGGTCAGAGCTAGATGGGCCCCGACGAAACGAGTCAAGAAAGAGGGATACAGGGCAAATCCAATCAAAATCGGACCCAAGACCCCTCTCAGGGGGGCCATCTGGTGCAACTGTTCACCCCAGATCTGCTGTTGACGGTCCAAGGGCCCGAAAACGGGGACCCGAAAACGGGCCAGGGCGACTGAAAAGGGTAACATTACTCACTGCGTGGAGCTCCCCATATGTGCATCTCATGTTTTATGTCATGCCGTGGTGAGCATCTGTTCATGAGCGGTCGACTACAATAGCGCGTCCACGTGGGCGACAGGGCCGACGAAGACGAGTGACCCCTAATGCGAGTGATTGCGTATGAGTCAGAGTGAGCTTTGAGTATGGTTGAATGCGAGCCTCTTCCTCTTCATCCCCCCTCCTCAGCTGCCAGGCCTTCCCCTTGTCAGCCCGTGGTAGCTTTGGACCTTCCCATATGTGCATATGTTTTAGGATAGTTGGCAGTGGGATATGTAAGACGAGCGTTTAGCCACACAAGGCCATGTCTCAGGCGAACCGCCTGAGACATCCCCACAATATGGCCGCGAACGTGCCCGTGCAACCACCCCTGGCGGCTCCCCATAGGGGGGCTGCAACCAGCGCCCCGCTTGAGACATCGTCACAATCTGCTCTCCAAGCGAAGGATGTTGAGCCCAGAAACGAGCAAACCGCTTGAGACATCCCCACAAACTGACCGCGAACGAGCCCGTGCAATCACCCCTGGCGGCTCCCCTTAGGGGTGCTGAAACCAGCGCCCCGCCTGAGACATCCTCACAATCTGCTCTCCAAGCAAGGATGTTGAGCCCAGAAAACGAGCAAACCGCCTGAGACATCCCCACAAAATGGCCGCGAACGAGCCCGTGCAAACACCCCTGGCGGCTCCCCTTAGGGGTGCTGAAACCAGCGCCCCGCTTGAGACATCCTCACATCTGCTCTCCAAGCGAAGGATTGAGCCAGAACAAGCAAACCGCCTGAGACATCCCCACAAATGGCCGCGAACGAGCCCGTGCAAACACCCCTGGCGGCTCCCCTTAGGGTGCTGAAAACCAGCGCCCCGCCTGAGACATCCTCACAATCTGCTCTCCAAGCGAAGGATGTTGAGCCCAGAAACAAGCAAACCGCCTGAGACATCCCCACAAAATGGCCGCGAACGAGCCCGTGCAAACACCCCTGGCGGCCCCCCTTAGGGGTGCTGAAACCAGCGCCCCGCCTGAGACATCCTCACAATCTGCTCTCCAAGCGAAGGATGTTGAGCCCAGAAACAGGCAAACCGCCTGAGACATCCCCACAAAATGGCCGCGAACGAGCCCGTGCAAACACCCCTGGCGGCTCCCCTTAGGGGTGCTGAAACCAGCGCCCCGCCTGAGACATCCTCACAATCTGCTCTCCAAGCGAAGGATGTTGAGCCCAGAAGCAAGCAAACCGCCTGAGACATCCCCACAAAATGGCCGCGAACGAGCCCGTGCAAACACCCCTGGCGGCTCCCCTTAGGGGTGCTGAAACCAGCGCCCCGCCTGAGACATCCTCCAATCTGATGCGTGTTGAGTAAGTCTGAGTATGAGTAGGTCTGAGTATGAGAATGCATGAGTATGAGTAAGTCTGTGTATGAGTAAGTCTGTGTATGAGTAAGTCTGGGTATGAGTAGGTCTGTGTATGAGAAAGTCTGTGTATGTGTACGTCTGGGTATGAGTAAGTCTGAGTATGAGTAATACTGTGTATGAGTAAGTCTGGGTATGAGTAAGTCTGTGTATGAGTACGTCTGGGTGTGAGTAAGTCTGTGTATGAGTAAGTCTGTGTATGAGTATGTCTGAGTGTGAGTAAGTCTGAGTATGAGTAGGTCTGAGTATGAGTAAGTCTGAGTATGAGTAAGTCTGAGTATGAGTAGGTCTGAGTATGAGGAAAGAGGAGGAGGGGAGGAGGAAAGAGGAGGAGGGAGAGGAAGTAGGAGGCGTCCAAGTAATAACAAGAACCCCATCTTAGGATATGGGGAACAACCTTTCTCGAACCTGGCACTTGGAACCTCGCCCCCCCTCCCTGCTCGCCCGAACTACACCCCACCAGCTCCAGTGCTAATCCATGCCTGCGCCGGGGCTCAAGCTGAGCAGCTTCTCGTTCACGTCTCGTTTCCCGTGCTCCTCGCCCTGTCCCCTTTCTGCCTCTGCTGCAGAACGCACCCCGAAAACCGTCGCGGCCCACGGACTCGCTGGAAAAAGCACCGCGCAGCTCGAGCCCTGGCCTGCGCTGCCTCGGGTCCTGGGCACCAGGACCACCTCGGCGCGCCGCGCCTCCCCGTGGAGCACCTGCTCGTTGAAGCAGCCGCCCTTGAAGAGCACGTCCACCTCGCGCCCGCGGCTGTCCCGCACGGACACCTCCCCGCCGAGGACGAGGACCGCGCACTCGCTGGCGGGCGCCGACGACAGGGCGTCGTCCTCGGGCGGAGAGCAGCGGGGCGCTCGCGGGACTGTGGCCGCACTCGTCGTCGTCATGGTCGTCGTCGTGGTTGTCGTCGTCAACGTCAACGGCGTCGTCGTCGTCGTCGTCGTCGCCGCCGTCGGCGTCGTCGGCGTCGTCGTCGGCGTCGTCGTCGGCGTCGTCGTCCTCAGAAGGGACCTGGTTCAGCGATGTGTACCAGGGGACGCCCGCCACGCCCCATTCCACTGACTGGAACTGCCGTCGCCTGAACAAAAAAAAAAGCTGCGGCGGACTTGGTTCAGAGAGTCTGGTCGATGCTCTGGGCTTCGGGGCTTGATCACTAACCGGCTCCCCGTACCCGGGGTCCTGGCTCGATCCGAAACAAGCAGCATACAAGCATGAGCTTTCGGAGGTCCGCGCGGCCTTCCTGGATCGGCGCTGGACCCCGGGCGGCGCCTCTGGGGCCTCCAGGGAGGAGGTCCCGGCGCCGATCCAAGAAATCCGCGCGGAGCTGTGAGCATGTGTGATCGTGTAGTTTGCTTTTCTTCCAGGCCTGTGCGGCAAGCTTGCGCGTCTCCGACTGCATGTCCAGGGCCTGCAGGACCGCGGGGGCCACGTCCTGGAGGCAGGGCCACACCACGAAGTCCTGCTGGGAGGCGGCCAGCACCTCGTTGAAGTGCTGCTCCTCCAGGGGGTGCTGCTGCAGCGCGCGGAAAAACGCCGAGCGGCGCAGCGCCAGGGCCAGCGCAAAAGTCACGGCCCGCACGGAGGTGCAGCGCCTGCGGAGGAAGGCGGCCACGCGGGCACAGCTGAGCACAAGCACAAACGTTCGAAGGCCCACGCGGATGGCTTGGATCGGCGCTGGCCCCCCCTCCCTCGCGCGCCTCCGGCGCCGGGGGCGGCGCCGGAGGCGCGGTGGTCCAGAGCAGATCCGAGAGATGCACGCAAGACCTCCGAAGACTGCCGCGTGTGCAACTTTGCCTTCTTCGCGCCTCTGCGTGACGCCGAGCATCGCCAGCTCCCCGAAGGTCGCACCGGGCATCATCCGCGCCACGTGCCTGCCGGAGCTCTCCGCCACCACCATGCCGCCCATGAGCAGGAACATGCGCGCGTCCGCGTCGCGGCTCCCCTCGAGGATGATGGCCGGAGGAGGGCCGGGGGAGACCACGGCGCCCCCCCCGCCCGGCCAGGAGCCGCGCAGAGTCCGCCCCCGGGGAGCCCCCCCCCGGGGTCCGCCCCGACCCGTTTCTCGAGGAGCACCCGGCCACGTGGCGACGGCAGGCCCGCGGCATGCCATGGGGGGGGCCTCCGTGGTCTCGACGGGGCCTCCTCCGAGATGGACTGCGCGGGCATGAACAGGGGCGTCTCGAGCTCCGCCTCCAGGGCCTGCAGGAACCTGAGGGGAAAACCGCCCGGGGGCGACTGGCTCCGGGGCGAGGCGCGCCGACTCGGAATCGGCGATGCACCGCCGGTAGATCGGCGATGGGCCACCGAGGCGGACACCCGGCGTTCCTCGGCAGCGTGGGACTCCCCGGCACCGCTCGGTCTTGCGCGGGCGATTGGGGCTCAATACTTCGACCCTGGGCTGGCATCAAAAAACTGGGTCCCGAGGGAAACGGGTCCTGGATGCCAGGGTTCCCCCCCAGGACCTTTCTTTCACCCTGAATCGCTGTCTGGAGAAAGCCCTGGGAGCCCGAAAACATTGAAAAACGTCGGGACCCGTTTCCCTCAGAACCCGTTTGCTTCATGGCGGTTTGGGGCAATTCCCTCTAACTGACGGGGAACGGGAAGGGTACCGGCTCAGAGGGTGAAACATCGACCTTGGAATCGGAGATACATCGTCGATAGATCGGCGATATGTCTCCGATAACGAATCCGCACACTCCTGAGCCGAGCGGGACATCAGGCCCCTATCGGCGATGAATGGGCGCATGGAGTTCGATCCTTGGCCCCCTTAGTTGACATGAAAGAGCCTGAAGGAAACGGGTCCTGGATCCTGGGCCCCCCCATACCATTTTCTCATCCTCCTCCATTTTCTTTTCCTATAAACAGCTTATCTCTGTCACACCTCGAGGCCAATGTTTAGGGCGGGCCGGGCGCTTCGCCTGAGACTTCCTCACCATTTATGACCCTGCAGCTTCAATAATGACAACAGCTTCACAAATGGAGGGCGGGTGGTTTTCAAGATGTGGCTCCCGCCGTAGCGCCGCGCACATTCGTTTTAAAAGTTTGCAAAAGTTTCACGGATTCAGGGCAGGTCGTTTTCAAAATGTGGCTCTCGCCTTCGCGCCGCGCACATTCGTTTTGAAAATTTGCTTCACGGATTGAGGGAGGGTGGTTTTCGAAATGTGGCTCTTGCCTTAGTGCCGCGCACATTCGTTTTCAAACTTTGTAAGAAATTCACTGGTTTAGGGCGGATGCTTTTCAAAATGTGGCTCTCGCCATAGCGCCGCGCACATTCATTTTAAAAATTTGCAGAAGTTGCACGGATTGAGGGCGGTTCCTTTTCAAAATGTGGCTCTCGCTTTAGCGCCGCGCACATTCGTTTTCAATTTTGCAAGAGTTTCACGGACCCCCATGATCAGTATTCCAAAGATGGTGTTTTTGGAAGGATTCAAGATCATGAGGGCGCAACAAGTATGTTGATTCGTTGTGTTGAAGTCTCAGGAATGGTGCTCTGGCACGATTCAAGATCGTCAAGACGCAACTGTCAGGTTGATCCGCGGCGCTGAAATCTCGAAAACATTGTTTTAGCATACTTCAGGGTCTTCAAACGGTCGTCTTCCAACAAGGCAGTTCCCTCAGCGGAAATGAACCGTTGTAGGGGCCTGTGGAAAGGGAGCTTGGAGGAAGGGTGTATTCCAACACCGTTGATGACTCTTGGTTTCCTCCTCCTCCTCTTCGTCTTCTTATTCTTCGTAATCGCATTACTACGATTATCATTATTAATAGTATAAGTACTCGTAGTCTTACTGTTATGCTTATCATTAATAATATTATTCATATTATTCGTTTTAGTATTCGTCTCCTTCGTCTTCTGATTATCCTTCCTATTCTTATTATTAGTATGCGTATTATTCGTCTGCTTCGTATTACTATTCTTCCCTACTACTACTATTATTAGTATCATTATTAGTATTCGTCTTATTATTATGCTTTTTATGTTTTCTCTTCCTCCTCCTCCTCCTCCTCCTCCTCGCCCTCCTCCTCCTGTTCATCCTGAATTGCTCTCTGACGTCCCCAGGGCCCCTGCAGTGCCCCGAGGGCCTGAAAGCGTGGGAACACACAGGACCCGCTTTCCGGGGGCAAAGACTGTATCAATGACAGGCCGCCGTGGGAGAACCATCAGGGCGCTACCGTTGAAGGATCGTGCGGCACTTGGACCAAAAGAAACAGAAAAGGAATCCGCCACCGTGCCTGCACGGAGTGGGGCGTGTTAGAATGCTCGTCTGTTGTCTGGGAGGATTTGTTAATGGGGGTCTGGGGCCGATCCCCCGCTCCCCGCACGCGTGCTTCGAACATCGCCCCGTCATGTGTGTGCGCGCGTGTGTTTCTGGTAGTGTTGTTGGCCTCCAAACAGCAAAGATGGCCTCCAGGACGAACTTTTAGGCAGCGAAGACGTCACCAAAACAGCTCCAGACGGCAAGATGGCTCAAGACGATCTTAAGGCGGCCTCAAGACGTCCCGAGCGGCCCCCAAGACGGCCTAAGATGGCTCCAAGAGGCCCTCCAGGAGAGCCCGAGGCCAAAATCATTGATGTGTTTTTTGCTGTTGAAGGATTTGAAACTTTCGCCTAGTTGGGTTTCCGACCTCCCAAGACGGCCCAACGGGCTTCCAAGATAGCTCCAAGACAGCACATGAGGCCTCCGAGAGGGCCCCAAGTCGGTCCAAGCGGATCCCAAGATCGTCCAAGAGGCTCCCAAGAGGCCCCCCCACACAGCACTAAAGGGCTCCAAGAGGGCACCAAGACGGCCCAGAGAGGCCCCCAAGACAGCCTCCGAAGGCGGCAGGCAAGCCAACTCCCCCAGACAGCTCAAGAGGCCCCAAGAGGCCCCAAGAGGCCCCCAAGAGGCCCCCAAGATGACCCCAAGGGACCCCCAAGAGGACCCCAAGGGGCCCCCAAGCGGCCCCAAAAGGCTCCCAGGATGCCCCCGTGAGGCCCGGAGAGTACCCCAAGAAGCTTTCTCCAAATCATCCTGATTTTCTCCCTCTCCTCCTCCTCCTCCTCCTCCTCCTCCTCCTCCTCCTCCTCATCCTCATCATCATCATCATCATCATCATCTTCCTCCTCCTCCTCATCTTCCTCCTCCTCCTCCTCCTTCTCCTCCTCCTCCTCCTCCTCCTCATCATCATCATCATCAGCAGCAGCAGCATCAGCATCAGCATCAGCAGCATCAGCATCATCAGCATCATCAGCATCAGCATCATCATCATCATCATCATCAGCAGCAGCAGCAGCATCATCATCAGCATCAGCATCATCAGCAGCAGCAGAATCAGCATAATCATCAGAATCAGTATCCGCATCGTCATCCTCATCATCATCATCACCACCACCACCACCATCACCATCACCATCACCATCACCATCATCATCAGCATCATCATCATCATCATCATCATCATCATCATCGTCATCATCATCATCATCATCATCATCATCATCATCATCATCATCATCATCATCATCATAAGCATCTTCGTCAGCATCCTCTTCCTCTTCCTCTTCCTCATCCCTACCGCGCGGGCGAAAACGATGTCGGAATCACGACCGTCCCCCATTCAGACCGCTGGCTGAACTGCCGCAGGGTGTGAACTGGACCTCCTTCCTACCGCGCGGACGAAGACGAGGTCGAGTTCACGACCCGTCCTTATCAGACCACTCGTCTCAATTGCGTCTTCCTGTGGCGCTGTTGCACAGGCACGGCGGCGGGGTTAGTCGCAAGCAACTGGATCCAACGCTGCCAGGCTCCCAACGGCGGCGTGTCATGGATGCTCCGTTTCCATCCCGAAATGCCCTCTAGACCCGTTCGCTTCGCGGCGACCTGGACCACACTCTCCCCAACTGAGTAGGCACAAGGAACCGCGACACCACCACCACCACCACCACCAGGGACCACCAGCGGGAGGAGCCGAGGGGGGTCCCCCTGGTGGTGTGGTCCACCCCTCTCGCTCGAGACATCCCCCATCCCCACCTAGGGGAGGCATCGTGGACCTCCTCACTGGACGTGGGGTGGTGATGGTGTCGCTTCTCCCTCCCCCGATCCCGGGGCCCCAGGGCCGAGTTCCGCCAGGGCAGCCATGCTCGCTCTCTGCGCTGCGCAGAGCGCAGGGCGCCCACAGCTTCGCGCTCTTCGGCGCCGCCCCCTGGGGAGGAGGAGGAGGGGGAGGGGGAGGAGGAGGAGGAGGAGGAGGAGGAGGAGGAGGAGGAGGAGGAGGAGGAGGAGGAGGAGGAGGGAGGAGGAGGAGGAGGGGAGGGGCGGAGGAGGGCAAGCTAGGTGCGCTCGCTCATATCTGACGTCCTAACCCCTCCCTCCCTACTACCATGGCGCTACATTTTCTCTATCCAGGGACTGCGTGTCGCAGGCGGACATGTGGGCTCGAGCGCGCAGTGCGTAGTGGGTGGTGGTGCGCGGCGTGCGTGCGTGCGATGTGTGCGGGTGTTTTGGTGGTGGTGTGGTGGTGGTGGTGGGGTGGTGGTGGCGGGGGTGGTGGTGGTGGTGGTGGTAGGTGGTGGTGGTGGTGGTGGTGGTGGTGTGGTGGTGGTGGTGGTGGTGGTGTTGGTGGCGGTGGTGGTGGTGGGGGTGGTGTGGTGTGGTGGTGGTGGTGGTGGTGTGGTCGTTCTTTTTTTTTCTTCTTTTTCTTCTTCTTTCTCTTCATGGTGGTGGTGTGGTGCTGTGGTGGGGGTGTGGTGGTGGTGGTCCGGTGGTGGTGGTGGTGGTGGTGGTGTGGTGGGCGCGGCGCGGTGGTGGCGGGCGGATGGGCGCGCGAGAAAGAGGCCCGCGCTGGGGCGAGAACGCCATCCTGAACGACGGAGGCCAAACACCGATCCCGAAAATGAGGCCCACGCTGCAGCGGGAGCACGATTCGGAACGATTCGGGAGCGGAAATGAGGCCGGCGCCTCAGCGAGAGCAGCATTTTGCAAAAAAAACGCAAGCGAAAGCCCAACTCCCGGGAATCCTGTGTGTAAAAAAACAGTACGCGGGGGGGGGGTCTACTACTTTCAGGCCGCCATCGGGGGAAGAGGGAGAGTAGTACTCATATTGAGTAATTGTGGAGGGGGAGAGGGGGAGGGGGAGGGGGAATGGGTGGTGTCGCTTCTCCCCCCCCCGCCCCCTGACGCTTTGCCGCGTGAGAACTGGCTCCCGCACGGGCTGAACAGCTCCACCGCGCGCAGCCGCCGCCTGCGGGCGCCGTGCTCCTGCTGCAGGTCCGCCGCGGAGCCCGCCGCCGCGGGCCCCGACGTGCGGGGGCGGCCGAGGGCCCGCCTCAGGGCGTCGATGTGGGGCCGCTCCTCCATGTGCTGCTCCTGCGCCAAGAGAGATCCGAAGGCCCCCCCTTCTGAAGGGGCCCTGGGACACACAAATAAAGACACACACAAATAACAAGGATCCACATGTTTTACCATATTTTCTGGGTTTTTGTCTTCCCCCCCACTTCCCATAGTTTCCCATATTTTCTGGAGAATCGACGATTAATTGTGTCTGTGTGTTTTTTCCCTCCTGATCTTCGCGCACCGCGCACCGCGGTGCACGGCCATCTCCGCGCCCTCGCGCTGCGTGGGTGCAGCAAGCGACCAAAACCGCATCGACGGCACGCCCTCGGGGATGTCCTGCGCGTGCCAACAGTTTTTCCAGCAGTCGTCAGAAACCGTAGGAGCAACTTGGTACGGATTGTGGATCCGCCACAACCACGATCAAAGTGTTCATGTCGAGGTCGGTGTTTTTCCCCCGAGGGGCCCTCCCGAACAATCCGCTTAGATGTGACTGTGTCTCTTTGTGGTGCCCAGAAAGACTGAGGGCATCCAACTTCGCGCATCGCGCACCGCGATGTGGGGCCACATTGGAGAGGGGCAGCTCTCCGGCCCAGGCCGCGACGCGCAAAGCGCGATCATCTTCGCGCCCCTGGGGAAGACCAAAGGCGTTTGACAACGACGAGCGACCGCGAGCGACGACGACCGACGACAACGACGACAACGACGACGACGACGAAGACAACGATGACGACGACGACGAAAATGACGACGACGACGACGACGACGACGACGACGACGACGAGCAGCGACGAGCAACGACGACGGCGACGACGACGACGACGAAGATGACGACGACGACGACGACGACGAGCGACGACGAGCGACGACGACGACGATGACGACGCCGGCGCCGACAACGAAGAGCGACGACGACGACGACGAGCGACCACGACGACGACGACGACCGACAACGAAGGGCGACGACGACGCCGGCGCCGACGCCGACGCCGACGCCGGCGACGACAACGACGACGGCGACGACAACGACGACGACAACGACCGACAACGAAGAGCGACGAGGAAAAGTGCCGAGCACATGCCTGCGAAGGAGTCGTTGCCTCCACGTAGCGTATAAAAGGTATGCTCCTTACCTCCCTCCTCCGTCCTCCTCCTCCTCCTCCTCCTCCTCCTCCTCCTCCTCCTCCTCCTCGTCATCGTCGTCGTCGTCGTTATCGTCGTCGTTACTCCTCCTATTGATCTCTCTCTCTCTCTCTCTTTCTCCTACGAACACCACATGCGCCTGAGAGCACCGCATCTTGCTCGCGACCACCGCCCCGTATGCGGATCTCTATGCGGATCCCTACGAGGACCCTCTGGGGATCCCTACGCGCATCCCTATGCGGATGTCTATGCGGATCCCTGTGCGGATCCCTATGCGGATGCCAATGCGAATTGCCATGCGGATCCCTATGCGGATCCCTATGCGGATTCCTATGCGATTGCCTGTGGGGATCCCTATGCGGATCCCCACGCGAATCCTTATGCGGATCCCTACGCAAATCCCTATGCGGATCTCTTTATAAGGATCCCTGGGAATCCCAATGCGGATCCCAATGCGGATCCCGATGGATATCTCTATGCGATCCCCATGCGGATCCCTATGCGGATTTCTGTCCGGATTTCTGTGCGGATGCCGACGCGGATCCCTATTCAGGTTCCTATACGGATCCCCATGCGCATGGCGGCAGTTCTGAGGGCGCACTGGGGGGCTGGAGCGTTACGTCATGTGGGGGGGGGGGGGGCGGGGGGCAAAACGCCATAACGCGTTATGGCCTAAGCAATGCAGAAATAGGCTCCAATTGCACGATCCGCGGACGGGCGGTGGGTGAAGCCGTTGGTTCTCATCGGGCTCTGTGCACCGCCACCCTCCGCTGAGACTCAGGAACACTCCACAAGTAGAGGCCTCCTAGATGGGGTCCGAGTAGATGGGGTCGGAGGATCCCGCCTCATCGCCGATGCATCGCCAATGCATCGCCGATGCATCGCCGATGAATCGTCGATACGCCGGCGACGTTTGTGATGCATCGGCAACGTCGGCGTAGAGAGGATCGGGCTCCACATCGAGCCGCATCGGCGATGCGTCGGCAATGCGGCGCGATCCTCCGACCCCATCAACTCGGAACCCGTCTGGGAGGCCTAGACGAAGTTGGTCGCTCATTCTGGGGACCTTCCTGGAGCCACTCGCTCCACTCGTGCGCCGCAGCTGCGTCGAACGTCCGTCGATTCGCATCGACCTCGAGTCGAGCCTGAGTCGAACCTCTGTCGAAGTGGAGTCGAGCTTGAGTCGAACTGGGGCCGAACTAGAGTCGAACAGGTCCGTTGGGTGGGCCCTGGGAGGGCCCCAAAAACGAGCATCCAGAACAGGGGAGAGGCGACAACGTGTGCGCCCCTGTGGCGCAGGCTCCAGGCACGCGTTGAGGCCGGCCCTCGGCAGCGACAGCAGCAGCGCCACCGGGGAGCTGGCGCGCACCGTGAGCTCGGCCACGTGCGCGAGGCCGAGCAGCGCACGCTCCCCGAAGCACGCCCCCGCGCTCAGCTCGCCCGGCAGCCGCGTGCCCAGCTTCTCCACCGAGCAGCGGCCCTGCGAAGATTATGTTGCTCCCACCGTGTTTGAGGACCACATCCCAGAAATCACTTCGAGCACCCAGGAAAGTATCGAAGGAGTGTCGAAACAGTGTCGAAGCAGTGTCAGACGAGCGTCTCCCAGGGCCCGACACGTGGAAACCCTCGAGTTTCGGTACTCTTCTGGTGCTCGAAATTCTTTCTGGCGGAACATCATAATGGATGGAACCTCATAATGCTAAGGCGAAGCCAGGACGAGGACAAATCCGGGTGAGGATACGAGATCTGGCGGCTCTGGACGATGCACCGGGCGTCGCGGCCTTCTTGGAGCGCTCCAGAGCGCTCTGAGAGCGGCCCGCAAGGCTCTGGAGCGGACTCCTCCTCGCCCTAGGGCCCCGCCCGACCTGCTCCAGCGCCCACAGGGCCCGCTCCGGGCCGCCCTGCTCCACCACCGCCCTGCCGCCCAGGAAGCTCCTCCTCTCCGCGGTGCCCCCCAGGTCGGCCACGAACCTCGGGGCGCGGGGCCGGCGGAGGCGACGGGCGGCTCTCAGAGCGCCCGGCAGCCAGCCGAGTCGGAGTCGGCCCTCCTCCCCCTCCTCCTCTCATCTTCCACCTCCCTACTTCCTCCTCCTCCCTCTTCACTCCTCCTCCTCCTCCCCTCCTCTCCTTCCTCCTCCTCCTCCTCCTCCTCCTCCTCCTCCTCCTCCTCCTCCCCCGGGGCCCCTGCGGACCAGCTTCTCGAAGCGGGGGCCAGGCCGTGGCGACGCGGGGCCTCCGGGAGGGGCCCCCCCATGGCAGAGGGCGCCCAGGGAGGGCCACCGCGGTCTCGACCGGCCCGCCCCCGAGAGCCTGAGGGCGCACTCCTCGAAGAGGTTC